CTAGACCGTTAGATCTAGATGAATATTCTAGAATCTACAAAAAAAAATAAAAAAAAAATGAACGGTTAGATCTAACTTAGATGTTGAGATTGAATATGGACGGTTAGATCAACTGAAGTAAAACCTAAACCTAGAAAAAAAACCCACTCTCACTCTCTCAACCATTCTCATTCACTCATTCAGCCGTTTCTCTCTCAATCTCACAATCTGTCATAGTTTCTCTCTCTAACTTCTCAGTTTCTCACTCTTTCGTTCTGAAATTCTCAAGAATCTCAAGCTCAATTTCGTTTCATTTGTGTTTTGGATCTACATTTCTGATTTCTAGCTTTACATTCTCGTTTTTTTTGTTAATTTTTGTTGTTTTCGTTTTGATTTTTTTCGTTTTTGTTCCGGTTTGTTTATTTAGGGTTTTTGTTTTCGTTTCATTTGTGTTTTGGATCTACATTTCTGATTTCTCGCTTTACATTCTCGTTTTTTTGTTAATTTTTGTTGTTTTCGTTTTGATTTTTTTCGTTTTTGTTTCGGTTTGTTTATTTAGGGTTTTTGTTTTCGTTTCATTTTTGTTTTGGATCTAAGTTCTGATTTCTAATTTCTGATTTCAAATCTTCCTCTCCTTCAAGCCGTCAAACCCTAAGGTAATTTTTTTGTTAATTTATTCGATTTTTTTCGTTTTCGTTTCGGTTTTTTTTTTTTTATTTCAAGTTCTGATAATCTACATTCTTGATTTTTTCTTTTGATCTCCAGTTCAGGTAGTTCTCCATCTTCAAATCTCCTTCAAGCCGTCAAAGGTAATTACTTTTTCCTTTTTGTTTTTTTTAATACAGTTTTTCTGTTTTTGTATTTGATTATTGTTGTTGTTCTTGCTTGAATATAGTCGAAATATGCCTAAAATGAGTAAAATCTGTTGTTGATTGTATTTTTGTTTTTTACGGGAAAATGGTAGATTTGTGCTGTTTTGTTGTTTATTATGCTCGATTTAAAAGTAATGATGATGGGTTGTTCAGATTATGTGATTATTATTGTTGGAATACATGCATTGTTTATTTATTGGGATTTTAGCTTTATATTTTTAACCCATATTGTTGGAATACAAGCATTGTATATGATTGGCTTAAAGTTAGTACTTAAAATGTACACATATGTGACTGTATCGTATATAACTTTCTATATTCTGTTAGGATATATGTTGTAATAACGTTTGTTGTATAATTCTGAATTTTGAAACATTGACTAGTGCAAATAAAATTCTGAAATATGAACTATCTATTTAGTTGAATTTTGGTATTGAGTGAATAGGATTCACTGTCGTGACTTCAGTGTCAGTCACATGAGACAATGCATGCTTAATTGCTCACTATTAGTAGAATCTGTCACTTAATTTGGTACTTATAAGTTATAAATGCTGTTTTTTTTTATTTCAGTCATGTCTCGCGAGTATGATGAATTTGACTATGAGAGGCAATCAAATTTAGATACTGTTAGCTCTCAAGCTGCCTCTGTCTCGGTTGATGATGCTAGTAATACCGGCACTATCAATCCTTCTGTTAATAAACGTCAAAGAACCGCAGGTATATGGAAGCATTACACTTTTTTTGTAAAGACGATAGGTAATGAAAATGTAGATTATGCTCGTTGTAAATTGTGTGGCAAAGAATATAAAGCACCTGGTAAAGCGGGTACTTCAACTTGTAGAGCTCATATTAATGCATGTTTGGAAAAGCATGGTCTCCAGTCCGGTAACGAATCACAATTTGACCAAAAAACTTATTTACAAAAGTTTGCCCTTGTCATTTATTTTCAGACTTGCTGGCAGTATTTCTTAAGTTTTTGTTAAAATAACCATTGCTCGGTGATGTAAATCTGAGAGCAATTTTAAAAAACAAAAGCTATAATTTTGAAGTTGCTTGAACTTGTTATGAGCTGCTGCCTGCTGGTAGTGCTTTTGCCTTTTGGTTGTTGTCTCTGCTGAGTTGTTATTGCCTATATTGTTGCCTGCATGAGCTGGTTCCTGCCTCCTGCCAGCTTGAGGTGCTGTGTTGCTGCCTTTTGTGTTATGAATTTATGATAAGTTTTGTTGCTGCTGTTTCTTATGCTTGCTGTTTTAATTTTTCTTGAATCATCGTTGCCCTTGTCATTTATGTTGAGACTTCAATATATATGTACTTGCTGGCAGCATTTTTCAAGTTTTAAGTTAAAACAGCCATTGCTCAGTGATGATACGATAAACGTAAATCTGAGAGCAATTTTGAAAAACAAAAATAAGTTCCTGCTGAGTCCCTTCTGCTTATATTATTCCTTGCTTCGGATAAGTTGCTGATCTGTTATTGCGTGTGCTGGTTCCTGCTTGTTGCTGCTATTTCCTCTGCTCTTGGGTGCTGGGCTGCTGCTTCAAGATTCTGCTTCAAGAATCTGTTCCCAAATCACTCACATTCTCACTCCTCCCTTCATCTTATCATGTATCATTTTTTGCAACCCTAAACTTGATGATGTTTCAGTTGATAAATCTGAAATCTAATCTGGGTAGTAGTGATAGTAGTTTCATTATGTATTGGTATATGTATTGTGAATTTTAATCAATGAAAATGGTGACTTTTTTTAATTGCTTGTTGATATTACTCTAATTTTAATGTTATTTATCTCCAATCTTATGTTATCTTATTGGATGATCATGAATATCAAGGAACAATGAAGATAATTTGGGTGGACTTTATTACTGGAATGAAAAGATACAAATGATATATCTTGTAATTAAAATAAATAAGTAATCTAAAACGATATTAATAATGTCGTTGGCCTAGATCTAGGTGATATAAACCTTTGTATAAACCTAAGCCGTTTGATTAGATCTACATTTATTAACATTAATTATTTAATTGTATTTACTATTTAGCCATTTAGGTTGTAAATAATTCAATTTGAATTAAGCAGTTTGTAATTGGATAAGTTTAAACAGGTTGCGATTCGAAAACAGTTCGATTTTAACGGTTTAACGGGTTATGGCAGTTCTGTTTAGACGGTTAGCGGATTATAACGGTTCGGTTTATACGCGCGGTTTAAACGGTTTCGGTTCATAAACGGGTCGGTTTAAACAGTTAGCGGATTACAAATGGTTCGGTTTAAACGGTTTTTTTTTCGGTTTAAACGGTTTCGGTTTATAAACGGTTCGGGTCATTAACGGGTTTATAAACCATTCGGTTCGGTTTCGTTTCGGTTCGGATTTGCGCAGTTTGGTTTGTTATCGGTTTACGGTCCGTAACGGGTTGACATTGAGCGGTTCAATTCGGTTTCGGTTTGATATTGAACGGTTCAGTTCGGTTTTCGGTTTACATTTATCGGTTTATAAACGGATCGGTCCGTGATGGTTCGGTTCGGTAACGGGCGGTTTCACGGTTCGGTTTGAAAAGTCCCACCCCTACTTGTATGAATTGATGAACAAGTTCACTTTTTTGGGAAAAAAAACAAGTTCACTTTTCATTTACAGTGGATGTACTACAACATTTTTAAGAAAAGGGAGAGTTCTTTGGGATGAATTCTCTACCTATAATAATTTGAGTCATAAATGATTCTAATAACACGCGTTGGTATTAAATCATAGTTTAGATAGTATTATAGTGATAGCAAAATATTTATTCAGTAGTACCAACAAATGCAAAAATGTTTTGTTGGTATCAATATGATTTCTTGTTGATATTTAGATGATACCATATAAACACAATTTAATACGAATGCCAATTTTTAAATGAGCTGGACCCACGAGCAAATTACGAAAAAGCCCCCATTTGAGTCTTCAATGTCTCAAATTATTTGAGGCAGAGAATTTCCCATTCTTTATTACAAGTCCCAAGTAGTGATTAGAAAAGTGAAAATGAATAAAAAGATAAACGAGTTAGTTTGAAGAAGGACAAATCGGTAACTTAGTTTGAATACGTCCTAAACAATAATTGTTGTAATAATTGTAAAACTTTCTAGGTTAAAAGTGTGGTAATAATAATATAAAAAAGGGTGAAATATCAATTATTAAGACAAATTTTGAGGGGGGGGGGGGGGGGGAAACAAATCCATACTCTAACCTGTATAATTTTAAACAATTTTAGTCAGCGTGTTTATAGCAGTGTTTGTTTCATGTACATGTGAATATGTGATGGCCTCTTCCCACTTAACATTCTTTATTTAGTGTTTTTCTTAAAAGCCAATTTTGCCGACAAAATTTTATTTTCAGTAGTGCAGTTTTGTGAACTTTCACATTTGTTGTAAAGATATTCATTTCATTTTGAATATATCTCGAATGCACATGTTTAATTAAGATAATTAGAAAATTAGAAAAGTACTCCAAAAATCTAAATAAGAATCCAACTAACACCAAGAGAATCGGTTGAAAATTTTGTTTGTGGTGCTTGTCAAATCATGTAGAGGATCGAATTCACATCTTTTTCTTTACCCTTTTTAAACTCTGAGAATTTGAGATAGCTTTTTTTATTTTGAAAAAAAAAAAGAATACTACGAAAAGACAAGATGTAAACGGAATTTAATATCTAGTTTTTTTTTTTTTTTTTTTTTTTTTTAGAGAAAAATTTAATTTCTAGTATCGATACCACCTTTTAAGACTTTAATCAATTACTTTAATCATTTAGTGTTAAAAATACCTTGCTATCTTCTCTTCTTTTACTTACACTATCTCGCAAGTTTTATTTTATTTATTTATTTATTTTTTTTATCTTTCTCTTATGTATAACCATGTGCTACATTAATGAATTGGTCGAAATTATTGTTGGTGCTACATTAATGAATTGGTCGAAATTATTGTTGGTTATACTGGTTAAATAGCTACTAATTAATTATCATTCAATTGGTTGCTTTTACCTAGTGTTTTAGTTTAAACTTTTCAACATATTGGACTAACATCTTTGTTCTTAACTCATTAGATTTTGATATATACATATTGTTTAAAACTACTGATATAAATTATTTTAATTAATGTGTAATGCTCACATCGCATGCATAGAAAAGTTAGTAATATATAAATATATATACGAAGTAAAAGCTTAAATATTTTCATAAATAAATTACTGTAATACTACAATTTCATCCCAAAAGAAAATAAATTAAGTTCTTCACTAAAAAAGTACTGTAATATTACCATTTCACCCTAGCACCCCCAAAAATAAATAATTTAACTCTTTAATGCTGGCAGCAGCAACATGTAGCAGTGGGCAGCAACATTAGCAGCAGCGGCGGCAGCAACATTAGCAGCAGCGGTGGCGGCAGCAGTATTAGCTGTAGCGCCAGGAGTGGCAGCAGCAGTATTAGTTCGTTGTAGCGACAGCAGCATTAACATGCAGCAGAGCTCATGTCAAGCGCATACCTCAACCTATCCAAGGTTCATTAAAGAATGGTTGAGTCGGAGCATCCAACTGAATTGAGACAAGAAAGGGAAAAAAATCACAGATAATACTCATATTAGTAACTCCAAATCTAGCAACATGCAGAAGATACTTAGAATATCATAATGAAAAACACACACTGACTATATGCTAACAAATGCAATCATAGGCACTTAGATACTCACAACTATAACAGAGCAAGTGTCATGATTAGTTAAATGACCCAGGAAAGGATAAAAGTAGAACAGAAAGAAAACTCTAGCATACCTTGTGCCATGGAAGGGAACTTAAATTCTTTAAGGAAAGGGAAGCAAACAAAATAGGTAGAATGTGTACGGATCCACATCAACTTGTACTTGTTACGCTCATTAGCAAGTAAATTGCCTCCATTTGGTTTGGTGATTTCAGAAGGAATTTAAGGCAATTAGTAAATATGTTCACCTAATTATTATGAGTTTAATTATACTATCAAGAAGGGAGGGGAAGTGAGAAGAAACAATCTTGCCTCCATTTAATTTGGTGATTTCAGTAGGAATTTAAGGCAATTTAGTAAACATGTTCACCTAATTATTATGAGTTTAATTAAACTATCAAGAAGGGAGAGAAAGTAAGAAGAAACAATTACTAATAAGCAAATCGAACAAGACAATTTTCATGTACATCGAAATGAATTATAGAAAACACGTCAGAAATAAACCAACCTCATTGGACTGCCTACGGCGTTTGATCTTATTCACGGATCCAACAAGTCAGAAATTTCTGCAGTTGTTAATATTTTGCTGATAAGTCGCCTAGATGTGTAAAATTTGCCACATCCAATGCAGATCAATGTATGTATGTGCACTTATGCTGCACATAAAATTCTGTATAAGAGTACTTAAGAGTAATTTAATAAAGTGATCAGTGATGGAAAGGACTCTAGTTTTATAAAATGTAAAGGAAGTCATTACAAAGAGATAAATTTGACTCGTTGGAAGCAACATAGACATTGATAATTGATATCTATGCAGTATGAAATAGAAAGCATAGACTTGCTTTAAAAAATCAAACTCAATCAATTTCACGGATTTGTTCACTTGCCATTGTTCATTTTAAAACTAGTTCTGATGGAATATGAGACTTCTCAGGAGGGTGAAACCCCAAAAGATTTGGTTTAGTTAGAGATTAAGAGATGAATATGAGATAGAAATTAAAAATGAAAGTGAATTCAAATATTCCACATCCAACTTGTCAAAGAGGTTAGTTATAGCCTGATACAAATATAAGACTTGGTGAATACCTACTTCCACTCCACGATTTTGTGCATACAGTCTATGCTGGTAATATTTCTGCTAGCACTATATCTGGCAATTAATGTGGGATCAAATTCAAAAACCACAGAGGGATCAATCAATACCTTTGGTGAACTTGGGTTTCTTTCTACTTTCCTTTTCTTGAAACTCTCTCTCAAAGTCCCAGCTGCTTCACTCAGCTTCTGATATAATAAGAGGGAGTCTCTTCCTTTGGCATCACGTGCCGCCATTATGCTGATCTATTTAGTTTCTAAAACACACAATTGAATGGTTCAGTATCCATGATCACAAATATAAATGTCCTACAGCCTGTAGGTCTATTGAGTTTCTAAAACTCCTCACAAAAGGCTAATCGAATAATGTGCGAATGTTATACAAATGTCACAACTTAATTTTCTACTAGTGCATTAGCCAACATTAGGGTATATGTGTTCTACATTCCAAAATAGAGCCCATTTCATCAAGTTTTAGCCTTACCTACTCCAATTTTAGCCATTTACACTACCATTGACTCAAGTTTAGCTGGTTAGACAATATTTGGGTAAATGTATGTACCTCAATCCTTCTACCACTTGCGCTAGAACAATTAAACCTGTCTTGAATCATGATCGGTAATCAAATTATGCTTCAATTAGCTAATTACCAAAACTTTAACACACTTCACTAGCCTATAAAGCAAAACCATCTTACATAAATCAAACACCAAATTGAGCATATACAACAAAATCATGTAAAAAAAATAAAAAAGAAAGGCACAATGAAAGCGACACTCACTCACAACCAGGCGAACCAACCAGTAAAACACAAAACACACAACTCCCTTCACTAGCCTAACATGATGCATAGCTCTAACACCTCACACACAAGCTGCCAACTCCACCTCCTGCAAGATAGCAGCGAATACTTATAGACAATCCAAACGCACCACACAACACCCTCGTCATCTGTACTTGGGCACAAGACTCGCTGCGCCAACAGTCACATTGCTCCCGGTACCTAGTACTAGGCAAAGCAGTTGTAAGGACAGCAGAACACAAGTCTTGCTCCCCTAATGACGACCACGTTGACATCGCATTATCGCAACAAACTCAAAATCAACAACTAAAAGCCAATCATACATCAAATAAAACAGAAAAATCAGCCCATACAACTCACAAGTACACAACACAAGTTACAACACTTAATCAGTCAATCATGATCAACAAGGAAAAGCGGCCACATGCTATGTCGTATCAATTCAATAATGGCAACAAGATGAGTTTACTACTCCAGTAAAGTCCCTAGCATTTGTTATTATATTACCACTAACATAACAAGAAAATAAAAGATATGATAGAATAAAAGAAAGTAAAAAAAAAAAAAGTATAACCCATTTCAAAGATAATAAAGTAAATCAAACTAAGTGGTCTTACAAAAAGAGCAGGAAACGCAATCTAATTAGCCAACTATACATATAATTTCACCCCAAAATTGGCAAAACCATTATAAGAACAAAATTCAATACCAAAATTACAAACCCTAGAAATTTCTAAAATAATCCTATAATGAAATTGAAAGTAAAATGTGAAAGCTAACCTTGCAACGAGCTGCTTGAATGGAAGAGAGAAAGCTAAGAAGCCTATTCAATGGAGAATTCAGAGCTGAGAACTCGGAGTAAGCGTCGACGGAGGGGAAGAGAGAACTAAAAAGCCTATTCAATGGATCATTGTTTTCAAATGCAGCCCGTTTCAAAAGATGACTCGGCCCGATCTTTTAATAAAACCCGTGTTTTTTCTTTGGTACATTTAACAAATTTTAGGGGATGTTTGGTTCGTTACATTGAAATGGATTGATTGTACTCTCATACTAGAGAGGTATATATTTAACAAATTTTCTAGTAGTGTTGGAATTAGACAGTATTAAATGTAGGGCGGCTCAAAAAATGATAGGTTCAGTGTTGAATTTTGGACAACCTAAATTTTTATTCTTAGTTAAAATTTAGCTCGATCCAAATGACCGAGATAGCGGGTTTGAACACGCTGTTGATTTTTTGCTTGAAGTACTCTAGTGGATTTGTCTATGAATTTAATGGGCAAACTTTTTTAGTCAAGGCTAGGCCTGCCTATGATCAGCTCTACTTGATACCATACTACCATGCATACAAGAAGCAATAGTAAAAAAAAAAAAATAATAAATAAATTATTTTGACTCTATAGGGTTATCTAACGCCTCGGGACGTTCGTTAGCTAATTTAATGCATTTTTAATTATTTTTTCTTTTGGAAAGGTAAATTAGTTGACCATTTATTAAATTAGCTAATTTAATGCATTTTTAATTATTATCAATGTTATTTTATAAATTACAAAAAAATTTGCTCTTATCTAACGTCCGGGACGTTCGTTAGTAGGATCGTAATTAAAATAATATTTGACAAGAGGGGACATTAACTTAATTATATAGTACAGGGTATGTAGTTGCAAAGCACGAAAAAGACATATTAGTATTTGACTCAAAATGTTATACAAATTCATATAGAATATGTATGGTCATGCTCTAATATATTCAAACGGCCTGTGCAAACCATAAAAATTGTCCGTTAGCAGGATTGTAATTAAAATAATTTTTGACTAAGAGGGGACATTAACTTAATTATATAGTACGGGGTATGTAGTTGCAAAGCACGAAAAAGACATATTAGTGACTCAAAATGTTATACAAATTCATAAGCATATGGATGGTCATGCTCTAATATATTCAAACGGCCGGTGTAAACCATAAAAATTTAACACCATTAATTATATGAGGAGTTGAACAATTTTGGTCCAATCTTAGTACGAATTATAAATCCTTGACAAACTAACTTTTAATTTGTCATCGAGCTACATTTGACTGAATATTAGTTATACATATACATATTAATTATATACTATCAACTTCAAGATGTTGAACTAATTAATTAGGTGAATTTAGAAGGAAATTAAAATCTAAGTCATGGGTTGAAGTAGTATTATTGGTAGATTGTGGTGCTGTAGACTGATTTAGATGATCAAGTCCAAGTTCATTTTCCAAGTATACTAACCACCACCAACTTCCATCACCTTGCTTTACATTTTCATTCTTGTTGTCATTCTCATATATTATTGGTGTGTCAACATCTTTGAATTGGACTTCATTATTGTCTCCATGTAACAAGTCCCATAAGTCCAAATTAGGCTCGAAGGGAATTTCAATTAGCTCGTCTAGTGAAATATTTTCGATGTTCTTGCCCACACACGCGCTTGTTTCATCCTTATTAGGATGCTCGACATTTTCGATCATTTGATGGTCCGAACATGAGGCTTGTGAGTTGGAAGAGGTAGATGATGAGCTTGAATACTCGATCGTGTCGTTGTTTGTGATAGTTTGTTGAGTGAGGACTTGTTTATAGCAATGTTGATTGTTGTCACTTCCATCAATAGTAATTTCATTAGGAGTATTTGTTGAGGAGGATGCGTTACATGATATTGGAGAATCATTGCTCGAACGTTTCTCTTTGAGGCGTTTCTTTAAGTGAGTATTCCATACATTTTTAATCTCATTGTCAGTTCTTCCCGGGAAATGAGATGCTATCTTCGACCATCTGAATAATATAAACATCGACTGATCAATACTCACTTAGAAATTTAGATTAGCATGTAAATCTCACGAAAAATGTTTCAAATTATGCATCGGTATGGTTTAAATAATTACTTGTTTCCTAACGTTTCATGTAGCTTGATTATGACTTCCTCTTCTTGAGGAGTGAAATCACCGCGTTTTAGATCTGGTCGAAGGTAATTAACCCACCTTAATCGACAACTTTTTCCACATCGTGCTAATCCTAAACACACACATATATAAGATGATTATCATTTATGGCATATTATTATAATTAGACAAGCAAACTAGTTAACTTAAATGAGATGATTACAAAATCAATTATTTTAAAAACTATTATAACAACATTGATGTAATTAGGTTTAACTCATACTCTTTATGACTTTATTTTATATATGCTTATGATGTCATTAATTGAATGATTAATTAATTAATTAATTAATTTGTACGTGGAAGAGTTATTTTCTATATTAGTTTGGGTGGGGAAATCACTCAACAACCTTGACAAAGACCGTAGGGTTGGAATGTTTTACTCCACTTAAAATGTATTGCTTCGTAAATTTCTTTGACTTCGTTTACCTATAAAAGTATTTGGTCCCTTTGAAGACAATCATTCTATTGGTTGGTTAAGTTCTTTGACTAAGTGACCAAGCAACTTATTTTCAACCCACCACCATATATTAATTATTATAAGGCCGGTTCACACGTGTGAAAAAAATTTAATTGACTTCATTTTTATTTATATGAGAGATAATTTAGGGCATTTAAAAGCAGAAGTGATCACTACTTAGTACTATTTGAAATACATATTTTCTTTGTTTTTTTTCTATTTTTTTGGATCATAAAACAAGTCAAAAGTACCCCTCCCTTTTTATTCTTATTCGAAGTAAATAATTAACCAATGAGATCTTCACTTTATGGCAAAGACTAAAAGTATATATACGATATATCATTGCTGTTTCGATTCTCTCCACTTCTTTTGTAATTATGACTCATTTTAAAAGTAAATTATACGGAGTATAAAATAGTAGCCAAAAAAAATCTACATGTATACTTGTGTGTTTTTAATCAAATTCCTACTTCCTTTATTTATTTATTCCTTTATTTATATTTTTGTTCAATAGTGTCTTTTATACTATTCATAAATCTTGCTTTGTTCATAATCATATACTTATACATATAAATATTAGTGATATTATGTAACAAGGTATTGGATTTATCACAATTAATATATATTTTAATATATTATTGATATTTTTTTCTTATAAATAAATAGGGATATTTCAAAATCAAACAGTACGTGATAGTCATACTACATAAAAAAGGATGCATAAGACTAATTAGAAAATGCAATCGCTATATTGAAATACCTTGTTAATTAGAAATAGACAAATCACAGTATCATAGTTTGTAGACAAATTCAACTTTCATAAAAGTCTATTAAACTTATAAGAGGATGCACTGTTTGGAGTATTTATTATATATGATCATGATTCGATCATGTCATCACATAAATACTTTAGTACGGATATCATTAAAATCGTAAGTACATATAAGCTTATAAATGAATGTTTTGCTTATTATATCAATTGAATGGCTTTTTGAATTGCGATATAACTGAGATACACTAGTAGCTAAAATTGCATTATTCAAGAATTGTAATGTCTACCCAACTCTCGTTGTTGGGAAAAAAGTCAATAAAAGCAACATTTTAAACACATGATATAATGATTAATAGGCATTATAATCTAAGATTCAATATGGTAAACTTAATCATTCTAAAGATCTAGAATAGCATTTAGAATTCCAAAAATGGAAAAAATAATCGTTAAGATTTGATGAATCTAAGACAATATTTTAACTATGATGATGTTTTGTAATCATAAACCTAGCAACTTTTTTGCACGCACCAAAAACATACATATAAGTTTATAAGTATATAAACTTAGCAACTTTTCACTAAATGTTCAGATCATATTGTGATATCTTCTTCCCCCTAGATGTTGTATGAACAATTATCCTTTAATAATACCGACCTGTATGTAAAAATTATACATTTTGTAATATACTAAGGATTATTGCTTGATTGTTGTCTTTTGAAGATGATCATTATATTGCAAGTGTAACAAAGCAACTACAATCACATACATATGCTATATTATGTCTTAAAAACTATTAAACCAACTCATTAATTTCAATAAAAAGAGAATAATGATTGAGAAGAAAAACCTGCAAGTTTAGGAAGAGCTCGCCAATTATTATGACCATATTTCTGAATGAAGGAGATGAGCTTAAAATCCTCAGCTTGGGACCACGGTCCCTTTTTTACACCCGCTTTGTCACAACACGGCTTTCTTCCTTTACCCATATTAATTCCTTAATTTGTTTCCTAATTAACAATTAAATTCTAACTAATTAATTAATATCCAAAAACTATTTAAAAAGAGTAATATATATATATATATATATATATATATATATATATATATATATTTATTTATTTATTTATTTATTTTATTTTTTCAATTATTGGAAGAGTGGAATTTGTGGATTAAGTAGGAAGTGATGAGAAAAATGATATGCAAGTATTTATAAGGGAAGAGGAGTGAGAGAAGATGATGACATTACATGCATTTGCTTACGCTAACGTAGTAGTAATATTATTCACTCTTACCAAACTTTTTGGACTTTACTTACTTACTTTACCTTTGAATTTATGCTATATTAACTTTTGTTTATTTGATTAGAGGGTAACTATTAGTCCTAATTAATTAGACTATTGGTGATCAATTATTTGATTAATTAAGTATTGGTATGATACGTGATGATTTTCTTAATTGAAACTTTATTTTATATTTACAAGTGAGTTTAGTAGTTTACTACTTCATCATCTGCAAGTTGTTCTTACGTCATGCTTATCTAAATTGATGTGTGTGCTGATGTAATGAAGATGATAAATAAGTTTACATAGAAAACAACAGTAGCAGTAGATTTTAATTTTTAACTAGATAGAAGCTCTTGCGATGTACGGTTTTTTCATCTAAGATTTTTAATTATTTGATTTATTGTATTTAATAATTTTAGACAAAATTACAAAAGTTTAAATTTTTTTTTTTATTTTACTCTAATTTATAATGAATTTATTAAATATAAATAAAGTGTATATATGATTTTTTTTTCCATTATATAAAATGTTTAATGTGAAATGATAAATTTTTAACAACTTAAATCCTAAATCATTATTCATTGTTTTACCATATCTTTTATTTCAATAGAATCACCAACCTCGTCCACAACCAACCTACTACATCAATGGATAAATTGAACTGTGAAATGTTAGCCAAACTGAAATTGATATAAATTAAATCTTTACATTTATATAAAATAAATCAATAGATTTACCAATAAATGAGAAATTGTTGCGATATAAAATCAAATCTATGCATTGGAATTTTTTCATCATCTCCAAAAATAACCAAAGTCATTCATATATTAAGTATACAACATCTAATCATATGTCATTACATAAACAAATAATCATTAAGTATCCTAAATAATTACAATGTAACTAATAATTACAAATATAAATTTAAGCATAAGATTTTAAAAATTATCCGGACATTGATGACCTAAAACTAACACAAAATTCGCTTGATGGGGTTTTGTACTGATACGAAATTTTATTTGTGTCGTATGATGTGTTAGCTCTGCATGTAAAAAAACATTTAGTAAATAAAACATAAACATATAATCGTTGAGTATCCCAAATTAATACAATGTAAGTAATAATTAGAAATACTAATTTAAACATAGGATTTTAAAAATTAAGCTAAAAATTACCCGGCCATTGATGACCAAAAATTAACTCAAAATTACTAACACAAAATTCGCTTGATGGAGTTTTTTATTGATACAAAATTTTGTTTGTAACATATGATGTGTCAATTTATAATGGCAGGTATCACAAATTTTAATTTAATTATAATTAACGAACAATTTGTATTTCTTATCATAAATACTATCAAAATTTATCTTATAACGATAGGTATCAAACTTTATTATAAGCGTTTATCATTTAAATATTATTTAGTATTTTTTTTTGGATTTCTGATACTCGTAGTATTGAATTAATAAATTTATCTTTTCCTATATTTTTACTTTATTTTTTTCATTAAAATAATTTAATTCGTGGATTATAATCTACGTTGCAATAAATTTTTGGTATATCAAATCTAATTCGTTACTTTTATCTAGATGGCGACATAATTTTTTAATTCAAAAATAAAATACAAATATTTCTTCTTATTGGTCGAAATAAGTATATTTCTTACGTGACGCTCCGAATGCTCTCCAAAAACGCCTACTTTTTATTCTTTACTTTTATCTAGATTGGCGATGCACGATTTTTTTATACATAAATATCATGAAAAGATTATTTTCTTAATATAACCCTATAATGTTTTATTATTGTGCTTGTTAGAAAACGGATAATTTGTTTTATTTTTATGCAACTTATAATGCGACCTTAATTTACTAATGTTAGTACTATGAAAATTATAAGTATGATAGATATTAGAATTAAATCATAATCTTGTTCGTATTTTTTTAACCTATGATTTGTTTGTATAACGAAAACACGTTGTTCCATTATACATACGTAGTATATACTTATAGAATCACTATTTTTCTTTCAGAAACAATAACTTAGACCACCATTATTCTTTTATTCCGTATCAACTTTATACAATGAAAAATTAATAAAGTAAACCCAAAAAACTACAGGGTTAAAATAAAGACAATGGGAGTAATAGTAAAAGATATGACTTTACAAATTTTTAGATAGTTAAATGAAATATATATATATATATATATATATATATATATATATATATATATATATATATATATATATATATATATACACACTACCAAGAGTGTTGCATTACTAAAATTAATCTAATTGAATAAAATTAAATCTTTATTATGAAATTTCATTATCATATGTCCTTAATAATAGAGTTATATGTATAAACTATTACAATGATTTTTACAATAATAATATAACTGATTGAAGCTGAACTGAACTGAATATTTTATGAGAGAAGGAAATTAGGAACTGAACTAAACTGAACTAAAAATAAGCTGAAGAGAACAGGCCCTTACTTTTCCAATCCACACATTTCTCTTTTGGATTTATAAGTGCTTGAAGAAATTTCTTTGAATTGGCGCATGGACATAATCCCTTCAAATACAGAATAATTAATATTAAGTTACAATTAAATTGTTTAACAAAATTTAATACGATAAGTAACATAATTAGATTAGGTAAAATAAAACAAAACATATATATAATAAAATAATGAATAACAATCAATTTATTTTGTTTACCATCAGAAAGCCTTGATATACTTACATTATTTCCAATATTTTTTGTTAATCAATGAATTAGACTTGAAAAAAATTCACACCATGAAAAAGTGTAGATTAATAATATTCACATGTTTGTGTTTTTTGTGTAGTATATATATATATTGTCTATTTACAATTGAAAAAAAAAATCAAAATTTTATTTTTGAGAGGATGTATACAAATCTTTAATATCATCCTATCTTATATATTTGTGGAGTAGCAAATATATGTCTTATAAAAAAATTTATCTAATCATGAAATGGGTTGCTAGATAAGATAAAAATTGAACATTATATTATTTTTTTTTTTTTGAAGAATATTGATAAAGACTGAACGTTATTGTTATTTTTTTAAAAAAAAAATTAAAGAATATTAGTTAATTATTAATAATTTATATTTCTTTTAAAATGTTTTTTAAAAAAAAAAAATTGATTGAACGTTTTCTTAAAAACAAAATGAATTTATAGTGTTTGTATATAATAATTGTATAATTTATAGTTTTTTTTTTTAATTTGAATCCTAATATCAAAAGATCATCTTTTAAAAAAGATCATTTTTAGTTTTAGAATAATTTACATCTTAATAAATCATTATTCGTTGTTTTACTTACGTGGCAAAAATTTTAAATTTCATTCGTCTCTTTTTTTTATGTGGCGAGTGAATTTTTAATTCTAAAATAAAAAAAAATTGATTGAACATTTTCTTAAAAACAAAATGAACATATATTTTCCTTTTTCAAATATTTAATTTTAAAGTGTTTGTATATAATAATTGTATAATTTATAGTTTTTTTTTAAATTTAAATTCTAATATCAAAAGATCATCTTTTAAAAAAGATCATTTTTAGTTTTAGAATAATTTAAATATTAATAAATCATTATTCGTTGTTTTTACCTACGTGGCAACATTTTTAAATTTCATTCGTCACTTTTTTATGTGGCGACTGAATTTCTAATTCTAAAATAAAATACAAATCTAACTTAATTGGTCGAAATAATACCTTTGCTTATGTGGCGCGCCAAATGCTCTCGAAAAATATCTACTTTATTTATATAATATATTAGATTATCAAAGGATTTTGCCATTTTGATTATTGTGGCCCTTGTATTGCTCAACGAGTTATGGGTACGTATCATATATTTCTCTCATTTCAATATAATTGCACCATTTTTAGATAATACATTCTTAAAGAAAGGGGAAAGAAAAATTAAAAGACAATATTGTCTTTTTGTACTTCGTTTATATCAAATAAGAAAACATATCACGTCGCTTAAAATAATTTATTGATTATTGTTTTTTACCTTTGTTTTTCTCATACACAGCCTTTAGAGCTGTTTTAATTTTCTTTTCTTACATTAATTACATACGTAGTAAATCATCGTATATCATTGTAGGACTATTTCAAGCAATATCTTTATGATTTTGAAATAATATAAAAATATACATTAAGTTCACTTTTATAATGCAGAGTAGATTCTGTCATAAATATTAATTGTTAAGTTGTAATTAATTTCTATAGACATTTAAATTAAAACAATGAAGGTTAAAACTTCAATTTCAAAGAATATATTGATATAGAAACATGTAGCCATGTAGGAGAGAATAGTATATACGAAGTATTATTTAAATAAAATAGGTTTGCGAGGTCAATTACTTGTTTGAAATCTCAACTGTAAATTGTAAATGTAACAGTGACTGAAGATGTTGACTATTTATCAACTGCATGCTTATAATTCAGTCTTCTCCCACACAGAAATAGAAAGTGGTTAACATATTGGATTTTATTCATTCGTCAACAATTTTGTACCAATTTTCCAACGGAATTTTTTATAAAACAAAGAATGTCTACTATGGATATATATAAGTAGGTATTTTTCCATAATCTATGAATGGTTAAAAATCAAAAGTATCTTAATAACACAAAAAAAATGTAATACTAGATCAGCAAATTATGGAGTACTATTTTGTTAGTTTATGAAATTGTTTAATACTTGTTGTCCAGGAACTCCAATTTTGTTTAATACTTAGCTGTAGTCCAACCTCTCCTATTTGTCGATTTTTGTACAAGTGATTCATTGGCAGGCAGAGTCTAAATAAGATAGTTGTAGCCCTGATATTTCACAAGACTCGTTACTGCCTAGAAAAACACATTAAAAGTAGGTTGAAACCACAACACGTTAGTACCCTTTTAATTATTTTTGAAATTCATTAAAAGCATCTATGTAATACTCATTACACTACTCAATGATACAATTTGACCACGTAAGAAATCTACATTTAACTTTCCAAATATCTACGAAAATGTTATATTAAACATTTGGAAAATCTCCCACGAATAGCCACCAAAAATACTTCTACTATAACATCTCCCACAAAACCAACATACCTACAAACCTAATAATCCCAGGCCAATAGTCGCGTTTTTGTGACTGAGATTTGGACCATCAAAGTCACCATATACAGAGTACAGGAATATACTTCCATAATAATCTAATGTAAAACAACATACATCTCAACCAATGCAATTTTCTTAAGACGCATCATAGAATTTCCTTGCTTGAAGCAAACAAACTAATTTAACTTCTTCACACAACAAAAAATTAGAATATCATAGTCTTAGCTGATATTGAGGTGACATTAAAAAAATTGTACGACTTGACATAAACTTAGTCACTTTACCCTCAAGGTTAGATCGGAATTTTCAGGACAAAATTGTATTTGGCCTAAAAGCATGATTAATAAGTGGAGCAGAAGTTTATTACATTTTCACATTGAAAGTCTAAAGTATTTGTTGAATCTGCAATTTATACATACTGCAGATGACATCAGACATTTTGTATGTACACAGGAACAGGTAACACCTAATTAAAGTTATCATTCATTCATAATTATATACATTCCCTATATTTCAAACAGACTCATTTTTCCTCATCTTTGCAAAGAGTTTCAAGTCTGACCTGTTAGCATCGTTCAAATATTCTGTAAAGCTTCTCCAGTGAGGCCACCTGTAATTTCACGGACGATGTAGATTTTCGAAGAAATTTATTGCACGGAAAGAAAACATTAATGTTTCCTTCGTCCCTAAACAATATGCCACATTCTATCTTCAACTATTCTAAAATAATAGGGCACTTACTAAGTTACTTCTTTCTATGTCAAGTTAAAATTTGAAGTTTCCTAGACCAGTTGATTACCCTTATTAAGAGCCAATTTCGGCTTGACATTAATAGAATGAATCTGGATAGTAATGGTATTTTATTTCGTTCCTTAAAAAAAATCCTTAATTAAATGTGGCCTATTATTTAAGGACAAGGGAGTACTGAAATCTCGTTCATGTAAAAGGGAAAAATTTAACATGAGTTCGAATGCACTTGTTACCTGTACGAAGGTCCCATCTTTAGCCATTGAATTAGGGGGTTTAAGAAAGAGTCGCATAGCAGGAACTAGGATGTGCTGCACAGACCACTCACGTTGTGCCCAAGCTGTCTCTGCTTCTGCAAGTAGTTCATGTTCAATCTCAGCGTCCTTAACCTCATTAGGAGCTGTAGAAAACAGAAATTAAATTCAGCGAAAAACTCTGCATAGAGTTGAGCTTGTTCAAGATGGTATTAAATTTAACTTTTATCAACTGAGACAAGATTAATGAGGAGATGAATACCAGATCTGTTCATATCTTCATCAATAGATATCACGGCAGGTTGAGATTTTCTTCTATAGTGTTGTAAGCCATCACCTGCTGGATTTGGCAAAATAGGCGGATGCATGGCATAGAAATTTGCAAGAGCGGCTGAGATTGTTTGAAAGCAAACTTTCTCATCCTCCCAGTCAACCTATGAAGAGGAGGAAAAATCAGAGGACTAAATACTCTCATTGGCTAACCATCATTAGGGAAAAGGAAAAGGGACAGAAAAACAGTAGGGTTATGCCATCACACGGGATGAAAGTAGAATCAGAAATTATATGAAAAAATTAAGGATTGCAGCTGATAACAATGAGCAAGAAAATTACATCATTGCCAAGACAAAGAGCAAATTCAGGAACACGATCCATGTCAGGTGTGTACTGATCAAGTATGACAGGAAGCCTGGACAAATTCCCTTGTGGATCTATGTAAATGCAGAAATACTCCTCCAGCATTTCGGATTTTCCCTTGAGTAGCTCAGTGTTCATCTGTAGACCAATTATTCAAAATAAATCACATCAAAAGCAGTTTATCAAATGGTGTAAGTGGACCACCCGTAACCATATTACAAGACCTATGGTTTTAAAGCCACATGAAGCTTTATCACTGAGCAAGGGAAACCTAAAGTATGGATTTGTTCAGAGATGATGATGTAATAAATATAAGCAACATAACATGTAAATGTGGAAGAATCAAGGACATGAAGGTATCTGATTAGGTTAATTTGCAGTAAAATAAAGTAGCTAACACTAGCCTAGGTCTCAAGCAGGGGGAGCAAGAGTACAGGACTTTCTTAGGAGAACTGGACAAAGGAAAAGTAATAACCTCAGCAATTTTCTTCTTCAAATCATCATCCTCACTGTCATCTGCATCCATATCTTCCTCTTTGAGTGCCAGCATTATTAACTCAGGGAGAGGAGCAGGGTCACTCAATTGTATAGCATTGAAATGAGCAAAACGACGCAGGACTTGCTGATACATGAGTTCTTTGCTGGGCAGAAAAAGGGGTAAAAGTAACAAGCAAAGTAAGTCAGATGAGATCAGTAAAAATTGATGCTTAGATTTATATGGTACTCACACAAACTAAAGAACAGGCCTACTGACAACAAGGAGGATGACAAAACCAACAATAGTCGTTATTCCATCCAAAATGCTGCTGCAATTTAAACTCCAGATATTGCAGGATCATCAATTCAATGATTCTACAAGCCCTATGATGGACCAGCAGTAGACTTAAAGTACTATCCTAATCTTACTAATTCTCTTTACAATGTAGACCAGAGTCCAGAACTTTAGAAGTATAAGATAAATGTGGAGACAAATGGCCAATTGGCAATCAGACAGCTGCTTATTCTTACCATGAATCCAAAAGATTTAGTGTTAAGAGCGTAAAAGAGCCAATATTGATACCTCAAGTTTACTACATTTGCCAGGTAAAGATGAGTCTTGTACTGTACCAATGCAAAAACATCATCCGCCATTCCAACATAAGTGCAGCCTCTGACAATATCAAGCAGGCCTGGAAGAAATGCAAATTGATGAGCTAAACAAATTATAAATATGAAAAGAAACCTAAGGCTAAATTGAAAATTGCTTCAAAGTTATAACAGTATATATAGGGGTTGGGGGAGAACTCACCAGAATGAGAGCTATTATCAATTTCCTCAACAAGCTCCTGAATGCTGGTAAGATCTGCACTCTCCTTGGGATTTCTCCTTTGTCTAATAATTGAAGACCTACAATATTCAATTTGCTTCTTTATCATTAGATATATTACAACCACATCAATCCTAAGAGATTCTACATTGTTTATTATTCACCCGATACTGCACTCAAACAAATTCTTGCTAACACCAAATTAAATATCTTGCAATAGGGATAAACAATCCGATCTTGGGTATGATCTAAAAAATAAAGAAATTACAAGAAAACAAAAGATGTCATGCTGAGGATTGTAACACTTAGAACAAAGCTTGATGACACAAGGCAGCAACATAACATAGTCACAAAAACCATAACAAAATAACAAACCTGTTATAATATGGCGAACATGCAATTAAAGACTTATGAGGTGCGATAAATCAGTTGAAAATTAGAAGAAAAAGGAAAAAAAAAAAAAAAAAAAACTTATGTGGTGCAAAAATTCAGTAAAGAAAAAGGACTTACGACTACTACAAGGTGCGATATCTGAACAGCAGTAGCAAAGACAGCATTAAAGAGCAAGACATACTAAAAACCATATTAATTTACTTTACAATACGGAAGCTTAGAGGAAAAATATCACAAATGAGTTGTATTTATCTCATAAGAGTAAACTGCCACTCGGTTTCAATTTTAATCTCTCAGTTGGCTAACAATTTGAGTGTGTGTAAAGGAGATGGGGGTTTCTCTGCACCTCATTGATGTGAGAGCTTTAATGGGGTGCACTTAATAAAAAGTTTATGGGAAAATAAAGGTTGTGCAACTAGGCGCGCCTCATTGTGCCTCACCAAAACCGACTTGCCTAGACCAAAAAAGACGCATGGCCCATGTCACCTTGCAGCTCAGGCGTGCTTTTATCCACTAGATTTAACAACATATTAATAAATTCACTAAATTATTCAGTAGAACACATTAATTATAGTATTATACTGAGTTCTACTTCCTTCACCATGAAATTTGAATGCTTTGGACATTAGCATCCTCCTAATCTCACTTTCCTATCACTTCCAAAAGAAAAACTATCCCTTGCACGCAGGTCAGCAAGATATACGCCATTCAGAAATCTTAGGAGAGTTGTAGAAACACTCTTAAACTCCAACCTGTCACAAATATTAGAATATGATTTGCTCTTTTGTCAACATTACCAACTACAAACTTTGTATGAAGCAAATATCCTAGCTAGTGGAAGCAATAACCAGTTCAAAGAGCAAGTTATAACTGCTGAGAGTAAGGAATTGCGGTGTAGTTTTTAAAACAACCAGCACCCACCAACCAAGACAAAAAGATGACGACTTAAGAATCACACTTACAAAGGAGATTGATGGTTAATAATTATAACAATGTTGCATCTATGAAAGTCCCACCTTACAGAATTCAAGCTAGCATTTCGTTCAAGCTGAGTAGAAGGCTTAACTTGCATATATGCATGCAACCTTCCTGCTGGATCTAATGCATCAGTTCTAACCATCTTTTGCACGGGAATCTTCTGCGACTTCGATGCTGCAGTTGCACCAGGGGGTAGAGCATCAAAACGTCACAAATAAATAAATAAAGACAAAATGTTGTTACTACTTGATGCATGATTGCATCAATTGAGTGTCTGTCAGTATTGGTCATACAGAATTCTAATAGCTATCATCTCTTATTGCTCCAACAATGAAGAAGATCTGTTTACTTCAGCTTCCTCAATCAATAAAGGCATTACAGACTATGCTATTACAGTTTTTTTGGATGCATGTTGACCACTTCATATAAATTTCAAATCTTGTCATTCTCCTCCTTACAGACTTATCAAGAGACTTTATTTTTTTTTGCAAAAGCCTCACTTTTCTCTATTTTTCTTTAAGAAAAACTCAATTATTCCAACAAACCAAAAATTGCTGGAGAGAAGGTCAAGGAATTTTTTTTTTTTAAAGCTGGTGAAGTTTAGCAACTTTCAGTTCTAGGATGCATAAGCTGTATCAAGTGCAACTTTTAAGGAAAGCTGAGATTTAATCGTGATAATTTATCCATACCAGAAGCTGGAGGACTAGAAAGGGAATCTTTGCTTGTTCCTACAGGAATTGAAGGGGGGGGCTGCATCACCTGATTCACACATCCAAAAAAACAGCGAGTACAAAAATTAAGAGTATAGTGATTGTTTCTTTTAGTTGAAGGGGAAAATTTTATAAACTATAATCAAGGACAACATGGAAGGAATAAGGTGCCTTTACATAACACAAACGAGGCTAAGAAATTCGAGTCCTATTAAAAAGCCTTTCTCTATAGCATGATCCTCTTATGATCAACACTTAATTATTTTATATACCTCTGTTCCAGTTAAATTTCATTGGAAAAAACATGGCAACAGGTCAGAAGATCCATATCGATTTATTATCAATAAATCCCTATGTTTATGAAATTTCCATCTTGGTAATTGATGTCATTCAAGCCAGCATGCATGCACATTATATATGAAAAGGGAGATCCAATGTCATGATTGAACCACTACGTTAATAACGAAACTGTTACGACTTCATTAAGAAAAGTGAAGGATTAGATAAAGGGGAATACCTTTTATATACCGATTTTTACAAACAACTACAAAGTACCTATTAAGAATGTATGTTCAATGAACACTACCATTTCACAATTTTTGACAATTTCAAATCTAAGTATGGCTTACTAAACCAGACCCTATGCGTGGAAACAAGACAGAAACAGGAGACTACTGGACTACTGGTTTCGTGAGCCATACTTAACTTTTGAAAATCTCAAAAAGTAAATAATTGTCATATACTCACATAAGAGCTCTTATTAAGCAAATTGTCTCCCAAGATAGTAATTTTAATAAATTTCTTTAAAAGGTAATTGTTTGTAACATACTAGCATGTGATACATAAATGGTAGTTTTCCTCCATATTTTCTTGAATACACAATTAAATTTTAAAAATAACTTCGAAAACATGTTTGGACAAATGTCAGCTTAATTTGGCTTATTTTAACTTATTTCAACTTAACGCAAATCAATTTATCTGAACTTGAAATATTTTGTCTGAACTAATTTGTCTGGAATAAGTTAGAAAAGGTTGAGAAAAACACACCCTTAGCATATCCGCTAATCTATAGAAGTCTGAAAGCAAGGACAGTTGAGATCCCAAGATTTCAACATGAACTAGAGATTGCAAACAAATGCAAGAAACCCTACTTTGCAGGTTAAGTAGATAAGTAAGCTAACTTTCCTCAGAATTCAATGGAAATTCTAGAGAGAATCAGATATTGTAAAATTAGGATAAAAGGATGCCAAGAAGGTTAGAGGCAATCTAAGAGACATTAGGGATTGTTTTTTTGAACAAAACTCAGCATTGTGCATATTTTCCAAGTAAAACAGACACACACACACACACACACATACACACACAAAAAAATTAAACAAAAAAATAATAATAAAATAAAATAGCTGTTAAATGCCCTATAATATATAAATTAAAGATTTGATGCTGTTGTTGTAGATGCAAAATATTTTACCTGTTCTTCAAATACTCTTGTCTCATTGGAGTTTGTCAATTGCAGTTCCACTTCTGACTGTATCTTCTCAATTATAACTTCCTGATTCAAAAGGCTTACCTGCCAATTAATCAACCAAGAAAATATTATCTACCAAAAATGGTAACAGAACTAACAAGGGTCTTGTGAGACAGACATCTAAAAAAAATGCTATAGGTCAACAGATGGACAATGCCAAATTTTTGTAACCTAATGGCAGCAACATTGAAACGTATATATTAAGAAGTTTTTATTACATATAAGAGTAATATGACAATCAGAGACATTAATTGTCTATCAAAAGTTTATCTTCCTTGTGGAAGAAAACAAAGCACATATTATGAGAGTAATAAATAATTCTAATAGTAAAACACAGACAACTCAAGCAATAGAATATAAACTGGAAACTTCAGGCCACAAAAAAAAAAAAAAAAAAAAAGAGGTTGCAATCACGAACTTCAAAGCGCTCAACAACAAATCAAAGCATTTGAAGATTACAAGCTACCTAAAATTATTTCTCACCTCACGTTTTGTTGGATGTATGTTCACATCAACATGCTCAGGTGGTAATGTAATTGACATGTATACAAAAGGTTTTGATGCTCTGGGCAGAGTTGCAGCATATACAATTTCGATAGCCCTTTTCAAAGCAGAGCACTCAACCAATCGATCTGGAAGATATTCCAATAAATGGTCAATGACGTTTTGAAGCTAAAACAAATGCACCCATGTTGCCAGCATTAACTTCAACCACTGACACTTTAGTAAAAGTAAGTTATAGATGATTATACAATATATAATTGAAAATGTTTCCTTTTCCACAACATTTAGAAACAGAGGGAAGTGAGGGATGTATCTTGACCACTTAAAGATCAGTACCCAATTATAGGTGTTATTTACACGGAACATACCATTAATAAAAAGCACCATAGTTATCTTCTTGGCCACGTAATTGGAATTGGAGATGAAACCTTTCATCTTAAACACTGAGTTAGATGGATCATCATCTGAGGCTTCTATCTTTATTAGATTACGGGCAACAGATACACCATAAACAGCTCTGATTGCATCAGTTCTAGAAGATGTGGCAACACTATGAATATCAGCTCTTGCAGCCCCATGCTAGATAAAAAAGGAGCACAAATAATGAGTTTTAGATCAGGTTGGCTCCTGAAGAAATATAGTAGATGAAATGGAGGACTATAACCACAAAGACTAACCTTTCTACAAGAAAAGCCCACATTTATGTGATGAATTGCAAACCGACTTAGCAAGTCAACAATCTTTGGATAATCATCATTAGAGTTCTGAAGTGTTTTCTTCCGTGCTGTCATATTATAGAAAAGATTTTCGATCTACATTCAACAGAAAGATGTTCAATTCAAGATCCAAACTCACCTAAAACATCAGATCTTAGTAACGTATTTGTCCATTTAGCCTCTTTTAAGATGGTGAGAAAATAAGGATAAACTAGAAAAAGAAAGTTAACCAAACAATACAAACCTATTCACATTACAATAGTTGAATTCAATTCTGTTAGTTCCTTGTATTACTTACTTCAAAAGGCCAAATTTTTGCTTGATCATTTACTCAATAGTTATTTGCAACAAAAGATTGCATTGAAGGGCAGGTTTAAATTCACTGGGACATACTTCAATTGCTAAACTAAAGAGCAAATTAAAGTCAGTCTTTCTTTAATACCAACAACTCACTTTCAATGGCATGCCACCAATCAATCTGACCAACTAAACAAACAAATACGGCTCGTACCATGATCTGAGTCCCTTTCACAGCAGCACAAGGTTTAGGCTCATTCTCCATAACACCATCTCTATAAGACACCCTGAAACAAACAGTAAACCCTCATTAGAACCAATTCCTAACTTAGTAACTTTATATCTCTCAGAGGCATTTCATCAAACACTAGGTGCTCACAATAAATTCCCACCAAAATTACCTGAATCCATACAATTGGCCTGGGGTTATAGTAGTCACCGTCACATGACCTACATAAGTCATGCTTGCCAAAGCCTCACCTCTAAACCCCATCGATGTAATCGACTGCAAATCCTCGAATTTCGACAATTTCGACGTCGTATGCCGTTCACAAAGTATCGGCAAATCCTCAAACTAAACAAATCAAACTTAGGGTTAATCATCAATACATAGATTACACCACAAAATCATAAAATTTCTGGATAATTTTAATTTTACCCTAATTCCGTGACCATCGTCGGAGACTTGAATGAGTTTGAGACCACCATCTTTAACAACGACATTAATGGAGGAAGAATGAGCATCGAGGCTGTTCTCGACGAGCTCTTTAATGGCGGAAACTGGACGTTGGATGACTTCGCCGGCGGCGATGCGGTTGATGACAGATTCATCTAAACGATGGATTTTAGGGGGTTCTTTGGTTGTAGTAGGAATGATTTCATCATCTTCATCTAGTTCAATGGGTATTGGTTCGTCTCTTTTCTCCATTGCTGTAGTTGCTAAGAGGAGAGAGAATGAGCGAGTAGTTCAAGCTTCAAGACTATGGCGGTTATAATGGCTGCTTACGTTTTTCCCGCCAAGTTTACTTAACATAATTTCTCCCTTCCCCGTTATGTATAGTGGCTATTGTTTTGACTAAAACTATAAAGTAAACGGATGAAGTAGTAATTGACTAATTGACAAATGCTAATGGATATCCCGAGGTGTTACATAAAATGACCATTAATTATATCAACTGACGCATAATTTTGGCATGTAATCTCGAATTAATATCATTTTAGGAAATATTTTAATAAATGGTTACCGAACGTCTTGGGGCATTCGTTAGCAAATCCTTAGTAATTTGCTAAAATAAAATGACCGCATTTAGTAAATTAAAATAACGTAGTGAGTAATATTTGATTTGCATTGATTCGTCGAAATACATTTGTAATAATTAATATTTTCTCCTACAATCCTACAAATATAGAGTAATTATTATTATATTATTTTTTTAAAAGGTAAGATTATAGCCTTTACCAAGTTGGCAAGGTGGATCCCCTCACAAGAGTTGCTCTCCTTAAATAATACTTGGTCTAGTGGTAAAGATTGTCATCTCACAACCATGAGATTCCACTATAAGTAACTTGGGAGTAGAAGATTTCCTTACCCTTCCCCTTACTTCCAAGGGGCCTTTATTGCTAATCCGAATCGAGTTGACTTGTAAAAAGCATCGGTTCGATAACACCTTCTTACCAAAAACACAAAAACTACCATATCAATACTTGAACAGAACACACCTAAATATATAGACTTTATTCTTTATATTTTGTAGCAAATATAAGTATTCTATTCGATTTGCAGCTCAACCAATCATAATTTCATCAACCCTCCTAGTAAGGAACACCCTAAAGGATGATCCAAGACAAACTAGATACATTGAGGATTGTCAATCCTCAATCTGTTCAAATCAGTCACTGGCATAGCAACATGCGCGGTTAAGTTTGCAGCATGTTGAGCCCTTTGAAAAGCCCTTGACAAACAACAGTATTTACCCCTTCCCTGACATTTATATAGCCTGCATAGAGTGAATATACGTATATAGCATATAGCATATAGCCATATTACATATTACAAAGTACAAACATATTGTGTATTTGGACCTTGTATGTTTACTTATGGAACCGATATATGAGTAATACAATCTAAGCTTATTTCTCAATCAAATCAAGAGTTGATTGTCAAGCACTGCTAGACTTTTGTGATTTCTTATAATCTAGACATAACAGGCAAGGTTTCCCTTGTTGCATTTTTTAAAAAAGCCATCTTAACTTTGATACTTTTTTCTCCTGTCTTCCTCTTCACACAGATAGATTTCGTAGGCGTACATTAATGGGATACCGCTTCTGTGTTCCAGTTAAGGGAAAAAAGACTAGCTTATCCTCCTCTGCAGCCTCCCAACTGTTGAGAAACCACACCATGTAAGACATCAAGGGTAATGATATTAATACGTATATGCCAATGCCAATGCCTTGCCTGTATTTTGTAATGAGGCGGTGAAGGAAGATGGATATTGATACCCTAGAAAGCTCATAGCCAGGGCACAACCTTGGGCCTCCCCCGAATGGAATGAAAACATTAGCAGGGGTCATTTCTGCATCACCCTGTTCATATGACAAAAAACATGTCATCAACCCAGGAAAAAAAAAAACTTTGTATTAATGATCTAGATTTACATCTAAATACTCGGTATCTGTATATATCAATGCAATGAATACACTAACAGTACTAATTACAAGTTACATCATTACTTACTACAAGCAGGTACTACTATATCTGTTTCTTAATGCAAAGTATAAGGCCTCCGCATTATATCTGGTTGAAAAGTAATAATACATTCACTCCAGGTGTATTGAAACTATTGATATAGCATACTAGAAGTCATATAAGCTACAGAGTATACATTTTTTATCTTATTAAAAGAAATAAGGAGATTGTAAATATAAAAAATGACCAAAATAATCAAATTCTAACCAAAAAAAAAAAAGGAAATCTAGGTAACAATTAGAGCAGAGGATTTTTGATGAATAACCTGCCATCTCCAAGGGTTGAATGACCCAGCATCCTTAAAGTATTCATCATTCATATGTACGCCCCTAAGTGCTGCGAATACTTTCCATCCCTTTGGTATTGTATAGCCTGTTAACATAATGACCCAGAGGCAGAAATATATTGCTCAACTACTACGATTTAAGATAATTGCCTATAAATGTCATAAATTATAGTATGAGATGTAATATAACATGAGACTGAATATGTCACCCCTTTTTCAGTCTCTCCATAATCAACAAGTTAATTATAAAAGTCACCCTTATGCGTAGTATTTAATATTCATCTTAAACAAAACATAATCTTTGGAATTTCACTAGAAAGATAAGGATCAAGTAAACATATAAACTTGTAGAAATACCGTTCATTTGGATATCTGATAGGGTTCGCCTAAATATGCCTCCAACAATATTAGAAATTCGCAAAGTTTCACTAATAACCTGGAGATATAATCATATATACAGGGATTAGAATATTGTTAGCCTAATACTACACAGCTTAAAGTATCTAGGAAAATTAGATTGTTAGAAAACTTCACGCTATCAAAACTATAGATATAAAGAGAAGATTAACATACAGCATTGCAAATTTATGCAAGTTTGAAATAGGTTACTAAACTAAGTACCATATATAAATTAAGATGACTTACACATTGAGTGAATGACATTGATTTGTAATCATTCCAAACCAACGGCTCACTATCACCCTTCTGATCTCTGATCTTTTCTTGTTCTTCCTGTTGTATAATTACAACGCATTTAATTTCTTATGCAATGTATTAATAATTGCCAACAGCCTAGAGCATATTAGGAAAAACCATCAAAGACTTTAAACATGCATAAGGGGAAATTTTACTAGAAAAGACATAATTCAATCAATCAATCAAAGCCTTAATCTCATAAGTGGGGTAGAATAAGGCATAATTGTACGGAGAAAAACAAAGTCATATTGGAGTGCCTTCAGTATAACATATTTTAGTTATCTATGAAATATAGCCTTTGTGCATATATAATTCATGCAAAAGACCAGAGTATTGTACTCATTTATTCATAACTAGGCGTGTAGCATCTCAGCAAAAACCCCAATTGGCCTTGTATGTGGCAGCACTCTTGTTCAATATAGACCTAATTGAAGGCTGTTGAATACATAGTGATATCTACTGCAATTTCCAGTAGCCTTTTCCTACCAGTTTTCGGCTTAATGCTATTGCCTATCTTAATATTTTTGAAACATAAATTGTAAAAGTGGCTGTAACATGGTAAAATTGCTTCACTAACAGTGGCGCTAAAGCTACAATCAGTACATTATAAGAAAAAATCAACAAGATCAAGATAAATGGAGGCAGGTAGCTTTTACAAGTTTCTTATACCTTTCTCAGGTTAATACAATATGAGTACAAAGCATACTACTACGTACAAATTGTCTTAAGTTAATGGGGGAGAAAATAAAGAGAGATTGATTACCTTGAGTTGGGCAAGAGCAAGTGGAGATTCAGTTAAAAATTTGACTGCTAAAGTCATTGCTGAGGAGGTGGTCTCAAAGCCTGCCAACATCAAAGACACCAGCAAATCTACTATCATCTCATCAGAATATTCATCATCAGCTTTCTCGTCCAGAATAGCCCCCAATATGTCGCTCTTTCTCTCCCCTTCCTCCCTAGCACTTCTTCTCTCCTTTACCACCAACGTCAAGGCTTCTACCACTTTTGTCTTAGCCTTCAACCACATAGTGACCATCCAATTAACATATGATATTGTCCAAATTTTAGAGATGTAGGAAAGTAATTCCCAAGTCATGATTGATGATATACCTACTCATAATATAATTTTCAATACAATTTTTCATAGATCGGCATAAATTAGCTTATATTCATCAAACAAAGAATTAAATCAAATTCAATTGAAGATCATATGCAAAATATTGATTTTAAGATCAGAAAATTAGGGGAAGTACTTTAACTGCTCGTTTGTAAGAGATAGAGAAGAAAGGCAGGGGAATGCTCCAGAAGCCTTCAACAATAAGAAGGAATTCTTTTCTAAGGCTCTCTGTCCATTCACAAGGGTCATAGCTCAATAAAAGCTTTATTGTTAATGCGAATGTAACCTGCATTCATGCAAAAGAAAATGATGGAATTTAGTATACACTAATTTGAACCTCAGGGATACAGAAACTGCAAAGATATAACGAATTAAAGTTTAACTGAGTAGCATAGTTTGTATCTCCTTAATTTAACATGTACAGGTTTTGTGTAATTTCTCTGTTATTTTTAAATTGCAACGTATGCACACAGTTATTAAGTGTTAAAAAGATGGAAAAACTTGCCTTCTTAGTTTCCTCCAGAAGTAAAAGTTTGGGAGACCAGGAGTCCATATAAAACAGCATCAAACGATCCATATCAAGCAAAAGACGGCCACGAGTAAGAGCAGATTTAGTAAAATTGACAGTAAGAGAGTGCATTTTCTTATGCAAATTTCCCTTCATTAAAAGCAGCGAATATTTCCCATGCAAATAGGCAATCATACTTGGGTAACTACTCTCAAATAACTTGTCTTCATTGTTAAGAATAAAACGATTGACCTCAGGATCAACACTGTAGATTGTGGGCTCACCAAACAGGTGGGTCAAGAAGATGGGCCCAAAACGGCCCACACGTTCATCTGTGAAAGGCTCAGGGTTATCGGATTTGAAGGCCGATATCAGTTGGAGGGTCTCCCCGATAAAGGGGAGACCCATTTTGCCAGGAGGGAGGGTATTGGGCCGTCGACGATACAGAGTGAAGAGTAGGAAGAGGAGGGAGAGAAGAGAGATGAACAAGGTGATCGTGACAATTAATGAGAACTCCATAGGAGAGCAAACTAGTGTGTGGTAGCTGAGCTAGACTGAAGAGCATTTGACAGAACTTAGGATATTATTATACTCACCTTAAAAAAATATCCATTTAATCATTGCACAATATATGTGGTCCGCTTACCTAGTTAATTTTCATATTAAAAAATATATATATATATTGAAATATATTTTCTATGAACTAAAATTTAAATTTCCATTGTATTTTGAGCACTTGAGCTAATATTTTTGTTGTGGATCAAAATGAGCCAAAAAATTATACATGATCGATCCACAATATAATTCAACATGAAGATATAAGTATCACAATTATTTAATGTACCGCCACAATACAAATTACTAAGTATATATATGCTATCTTTATTTTATTTTTTTATTTTTTGGAACAAATTCTATATGCTATCTAAGTTATCCTGATTACCATGATTGGATAGTGTTTTTTTTTTTTTTTTTTTTTTTTTTTTTGGAACACAATGATCGGATAGCTTTATCTCACGAGTCATATTCTAATTGCTTTTTGAATTCTCGATACTTACAAATTTATTAATAATTTAATCATTTAAAATATCTACTGTTTTCTACTTGATCCAAGAATTTATGTATAATATCTCACTTTCTCAAATACACAATTTAGTCCTTTATCATTTCTATAATTCATTAGATGAATATCAAGTGTTGACACAGTCAAATATAGAGGAAAGCTGAGACAAGCTTGTAAGATTATATCCATACCCAAAGCTGAAGGAGCAGAATGGAAATCTTTGCTTATTACTAAAGGAGCTGAGGACGGTTGCACCACCTGCCTCATGCATCCAAATATGAGAGGTACAGAAAATTGAGGAAATAAATGATCAATTATTTTTCTTTATAAGAAAATATGAAAAGGAGGACAACACAGATGAACAAGATGTCTAAACGAGGCAAATCATAACATTAGCCAAAAATTCTGGTCCAATTAAAAAAGCCTACTCCAAATTAAACTTCCTGGAAAAACATGGCAACAGGCCAGAAGAATGGTACTTCATACGAAGTATATATTTATCATCAATAAACCCCCATGTTTATGAACTTTTCATCTTGGCAGATAATGCCATCATTCAAGATTACAAACCAAGAATACATGCATCTATCATTAGAGGAGGGAAACTCTATACTATAGCCAAACCATGCGTTGTACAGCAATAAGCAAATCATATTTTGGCGTCTTCATTAAGAAGTAAAGGATTAGAATAAATAAGAAAATTACCTTCTAAATACCACTTTCTGACAAACAACAAACTGTCAATAAAGTTTGTTTTAAAAAATACCTAACAAAAAATAAGTGTCCAATGTACACTACCATTTCACGAATTTTATATGTAAACACTTTATTGTGGCTCAGTGAGTCAGGCCGTAGAGGAGAACTGGCTTTGTGAGCCATACTTACTGTTTGAAGGTCAAGAAAACTATCAATCAGTAGTGTTTATTAGTCAACTTAAGATAGATACTCCAAAAATATATAAAAGGTACTTGTCGTTTATGTAAAAATATGTATAAGGTAGAGTTCCACACATTTTTCTTGTATAAAAACATTAAATTTGAGTCAAACGGAGTGGAGCAAATAGACAGGAAGATTTTGCTTTGGAGTTTGTGCTTAGTAACTTAGTGAGCAAGCACAGGCAACTGCTGTAATCCTTAATGTAATGAAAGGTTTGCAGCTCCTGGTAACATGGTAACATATATGTACCTTCTCTTCGAATATTCTTGCGAATCTTACCTCATTGGAATTTGATGATTGAAGTTTTACTTTGAATGTATCTTATCAACTATAACTTCCTGATTCAAAACTCAAAAGGCTTACCTGTCAAAAAAAAACCAATCAAGAAAATGTTATCTACCACTATGGAAACTGAACCAACAGGGATCATAAGCTGTTAGACAGAAATCTAAAATATATGCAGGAGATCAATAGAAGGACACAGCCGAATTTTATAATCCAGTTGCAGCCACTTTGAAAAGATTATGTACATTCAGAAGCTTAAATGCATCATTTTAGTGATGGGCGAAGGAACTGATCATCTATCATAAGTTGGTCTTTCTTGTGAAAGAGAACAGAGCACATGTTATGAAAATAATATGATGATTCTAGTTGTAAAACACAGACAACGCAACATGAGGAACAAAAGCATATATTGGAAACTGAAGAAGGCCACAAAAAATGGTTAAGCAATCTGCAATCCTTATCAAAGGGCCCAATAACAATTTAATGCAAGTGAAATTATGAGCTACAGCTTCCTAAAATGTCTTTCTTACCTTTCTTCTTGTTGAATATATGTTCATATCAACATGCTCTGATGGCAACGTAGAGTTGCAGTATAGACAATTTCAGTAGCCCTTTTCAAAGCATAGCACTCGGAAGACCAATCTAGAAGAAAATCCAATAAATAGTTTATGTTGTGAAATTATAACAAATAAATCCCTTCTGCTAGCAACAAAAAATCAAGCAACGACACAATGATAAGATTGACACAATTAATGAACATTGTTTACCTTTTCCATAATATCTAGAACAAATAAGGGGAAAGAGGGGAGTATCTGAACCAATGACAAAATCAATATACCCTTACAGGCATTATATGCACAGCACATACTATCAAAATACAGCACCATAGTTATCTTCATGGGCACGTAATTGGAATTGTAGATGAAAGCTTATAAATCGACATTTTTAACTTCTTCACTACCTAGATTTCGAAAACAAATTTACAGTATATATCAAATCTCAGCAACTATTTATTCATCTGCCCTCTATTTGGTTGTTAAGAAAATTAGGATAACGGGAGTAAGATAATAATTTTCTACATTATTAACCAAGAAATACAATATTCAAGGAGTACAAGATCAATTTAATTCAGTCAGTTCCTTGTATTACTCTCTTCAAATGGCAAAATTTAGGCATGATCATTTGTTAAACTCAAGAGCAAGTTAAAATCATTCTTTCTTTAAAAGCAACAATCCTCTTTCAATGGTAACACAACATATCTTATCAACAAAACAAACAAAAAAAGAAATATCATTTCATTCAAGTAATTACGGCTCGTACCATAATCTGAGTCCCATTCACAGCAGCACAAGACCTCTAGGCTCATTCTCTGTAAAACGACCTCTATAAAAAAACCCTGGAACACACAGCAGAACTCCATTACAAACAAAACACAGCAGTATCTCTCCAAGAGGCATTTCATCAAACACTTGGTGATCAAAAACAAAACCCACCAAATTCACCTTAAAACCATGCAATTAACCAGCAATAATAATAACTAAAATCACATTAATTACATAATTCATGCTTCCAAATCCTTACCCCTAAACCCAATCAATGTAATCGACTGCAAAATGCAAACCCTCCAATTTCGACAATTTAAACATCGTAAGTCTTTCAGTAAGTATCAAATCCTCAAATTAACAATACAAACAAACAAAATTTAGGATTAATCTTTAAAAAATTCAAATATCATATATTTTTCTGGATTTTCTTTTATATTTTTTCCTCGTACCAGAATTTCGTCGAAAACTTGAAATGAAGTGATCATCATAATATTCTTCAATGGATATGAATTCGTCACTGAAGTCTCTTTAATCCATAGTTGTTGTTGTTGGTCAGAGGAGAGAGAAAATGAATGAAGTAAAGCGAAGTGAATAGCTCAGACTATGGATTCAATGGTGGTTCTCTTTGTGTACTTTTCCCGCCAAGTATTCTTGGAGTGAGATTGGGTTGATTTTTTTTTTTTTAAGAACTCTCGTGATAAAAATACCTACTTATTTATATATACATATTAAATTAAAATATATATGTTAGAAATCCAGAATAATTGATACAATTCCAGAATATTCTGTAATTATCTGTCATACCATACTTAGATAAATCACCCTAATTTAAGGAGTGATTATAGGACTTGATTGAGATTGTAATGGAACTAAAAAAGGAAAGCATGTATGTATATAATGATGTAAAGCCAAACGTTTGAAATAGAAGATAATACAGAAAAACCTTTCAAACCCAAAACCAGTGTATTCTTTTTGACTTGGTATCAGAGCCAGGTTGTTTCCGGCGACCGGAAAAAGCCATCGGCATCATCATATACCATGGAAACCGACAACCAGGACATAGTTCCAAAACCAGTAACAATGGATGATTTATTGCAACTGCTCTCGCAGTTAAACACCAATAAACCAAACACAGAAACCATAAACCATCCAGTCCAAATTACCGAAAAACTAAACCATACCAATTACACAAAGTGGTCAAGATTGATGCGTCTGAGCATCGGAGGACGAGGGAGGCTCAACCACATCAATGCCTCCCCGCCATCTCCGACAGACCCAGAGTACTCACGGTGGGTTCAACGGGACTCACTAGTTACTGCATGGATAATCGAAAATATTGAACCAGAACTTCAAAATCAGTTCCTAGATTATCCAACGGCATATGAATTGTGGCAAGGAATTGAAACTATGTATGGGAGTGGTAAAGATGGCTTACAAATATTTGATCTAACGATCAAAGCAAACAAGATCCAGCAGGGAACTGACCCAATTGAAGTTTACTACGGTAAACTTTCATCAATCTGGAAAGAGATTGATAGGAGAGTACCAAACCCGATGGTACATTCGGAAGATCAAACCATCTACAATCAAATAATCCAAAACAACCGTCTTTACCAATTTCTGGCTGGACTTAATGAGTCCATGGACAAAGAAAGAAGGGATCTTGTCAACCAAGACCCACTACCAACAGTAGAGGCGGCGTATGCGGCGGTCCGACGAGAGATCTCTCGGCGGGCTATCATGAAACCAGGAGAAAAGGCCTCACAAACATCATCGGCCGAATCTCTTGGTATCGGCAGCGGACTTGCGATCAAAGGAAGAACGGAGAAACCCAGATTCCGGCGGGACGATGACAAGGCACATCTCAGATGCACCCACTGTGGCGGAACCCGGCATACCAAGGAAGGGTGTTTCGAGATTATTGGATACCCTCCTTGGTGGGGCGATAGAAAGAAAAAGGGAGAAAGGAGGAATTCCTGCAAGGCTGCCGTGAGCAGCAGCGAGGGACCGGCGGCTGAAGCAGATGCTCACGAAGAGGCAACGGTGGCCATGACCTCTTCTAC